CCCCAAAACCCCAAAACCCCAAAACCCCAAAACCCCGGACAATAATAACGTCATTGAAATTTCCCAGCCCACAATAATTTATTTAATAAAATCTTATCATGGAGTTGACAAACGAGAGGAAAGGCCAAGCTACCTTGACCAAAGACTTACAGAGACTTTGGTACGATCTTTTCATGTGTGATTCCCTTTCTTTGGAAGAAATTGCCAAACTCAAGAGGGAGGCCTCTACTAGAGGAATCTACCCAGATTTAGAGCACTACTATCTTAACAGAGAAGAGCTTATGAACTACGATCTTGAGAGAGTCTGTAAACTCATCGAATTATGGCACGACAAAAGCATCCTTTATGATAGATACAACCCAAAGAAACTTATCACAGATTATATGTTCTCAGGTCTCGACACAAACGGAATCTTTCTGCATTTCGAAGGATTTATGAAGACTATTGAGATCCTTGGTACTAAAGAGCAAAAGGAAAAGTGGCTCCCAAAATGCCTAACCCTGCAAGCAATTGGTTGCTACTGCCAAACTGAGATTGGGCACGGAAGTGATGTCCAAGGCTTAGAGACCACAGCCACATATGACGTCACCGCTAAAGAATTTGTGATCCACTCTCCCACTGTTTCATCAATTAAGTTCTGGCCTGGGGGTCTAGGCAAGCTCTCGAACCACGCAGTTGTGCAGGCCCAGCTTTATGTGAAGGACAAGCATTATGGAGTGCAAACCTTCATCGTACCAATCAGAGATGAAGACCATCTTCCTCTTGAAGGGATTCATGTAGGAGATATCGGTACAAAGTTCGGATTCAATGCAGAAGATAATGGCTTTGTAAAGTTCACAAATATCAGAATCCCAAGAGAAAACCTCCTCTCTAGGTACTGCCAGGTATCTGAAGACGGAACCTTTACCAAGGAGAGTGATAATGCCATCAAGCTTGCTTATGGAAATATGCTCTATCTGAGACTCAACATTTTCTTTGGAAGATCCGTACAGTTTTCAAGACTCGCTACTATTGGTATTAGATATTCAATTGTAAGAAGACAGTTTAAAGATGCTGAAACCGGAGAAGAAAGACAGATTCTTGACTACCAGACCCAACAGTACAGATTATTCCCATTGTTAGGAATTAGTTACGCCATAAGATTAGCCTGGGTTGAGCTCCAAAAGCTCTACTCCTCATTTGAGGCACAAGCTGCTGATGGAAAACAGCCATTGGCACTACTTAAGGATCTTCATACCCTCGCTTCATGCCTTAAGCCTCTGGTAACCTGGAGAATGAGAAGATTTGGCGAATATGTCAAGCAGTGATGTGGAGGGCATGGATTCCTCAACGTTTCAGGTATCCACAGAATCATCAAGAGCGAGGAAGGTTTGGTAACTGCTGAAGGAACCAACCTTGTTATCACCCAACAGACTGGAAGAGTTCTTCTCGGAGAAGCAGGTAAACTTGCTCAGGGTAAGAGACTTGAAGGAATCACTGCTTTCTTAAACGATCACTACAACAACACTAGGAAAGCCTCAAATTATTCCTCAATCAATGAAATAATTGTTGGTGCCTTCGAGAGCAGAGTTGCTTTCTATCTTGACTACGCTAGCAAGAAATTCCAAAAGCTGATTGGAGAAGGTATTCCCATGCAGACAGTATGGAATGAGAAGGTTCAGCAAGACTTCATTGATCTCTCTATCTACTTCGCTGATGCTTTCATGTTGAGGACCGCCTTTAGACAACTTGAAGAGAACAAGTTCGTCACATCAGAGACCAAGCCAGTTGTAGAGAAATGCATGCAAGTGTACGCAATCTACTGAATCCTTGAAGAAATGCCTTCCTTCCTAGTCACAGATTTCTTCAGCTCTGAAGACATTGATAACCTCAGAGAAGTGTTCAGAGAAGACCTCAAGTTTGTTAGAAAGAACGCCTTAGCCATTGTTGATGGTTTTGGTTACACTGATGATGAGCTCTGTAGTGTCCTTGGCTCTTATGATGGAGATGTCTACAACAAGTTGATCTCTATTGTTAGAAAGAACCCATTGAACAAGTCCAATACTCTTCCTGGATACTTCGAGTATATCAAACCATTGAGAGCTAAGATCTAATCATAATTTAGAATTTAATAGGCTCAATAGGGGAGTCACTAGTTGGGGTTTTGGGGTTTTGGGGTTTTGGGG